TGGTCCCTGGCCACGTGGGTTCGGCAACAGCGCTCAGACATTTACCTGGCGACGGACAAGAGCCAGCTCAAGTGCGCTGCATATTACTGCAGGGCATGCTGCCGGCAGATCTCCTTTGGCACGCAAACGTGCGAAGCCAAAGTGCTTCGTCATGAGCAGTATAAAACACATGTGGAAGGTTTGCGCAAGCTGCGAGGTGATGCAACCATCCAGCCTGCCCATGCTGGTGCACAAAAGGCTGATCCTGCGGGTCCTCGACAAGAGTGTGCTGGTCTGTTAGCCTCGAAGCTCGCGCTCAAGGACTCGGTCGAAGCCTTTGTGCAATTTGGGCAACCTCGCCTCCTCTACAACGAGCACGAGACTGATTGGCTGGCTTCCGTGTCCTTCCAGGTGCTTCCCCAGGACATCGCAGTGCGGAGTAAGGAGTGCAAAGGATTTCTTGAAGGTCTCAGCGCATGCTCGGCATGCGTGAAAGCGGCAAACCAAAAGAAGTTCAAGGAAGCTTTGGCGAAGCAGGTGTTCATGATCGATCTGTGTGTACTGAGCTACAAGTGCATACACTGCTCCGCGGAGGAACTGCACAGCTTCAAGGAAGAGCTTCGCCAGAGGGATTACCAGCAGCAGAACTTGGCTGGCAGTGACCTTGATCGGCTGCTACGGATCAAGGACAACTTGGAAGTCTCCAGGGCAGTCGCTGCCAGAGTTGATACGACTCCTGCATGGCGAGTCTCCTCGTCGCTCCGCAAGTTCTGGGATGTGTGGTTGACCAGGCCGCAGAAGCACCATCAAACATCAACGGAGGCCTACGGCTGCCTGGCGAGGGGGATGATGGATGCTGTTGCGAGCGGACGGGCTCGGGAGTTTGATTTAGTGTTGGCTGCACGTGTGGCTGCAGGTGCTCTCAGATCAGACGTTTTGGTTGAATCTTTGACCACAAGCTTTCTCGCAAAGTTCAAGGATGGATTGGCAGACTGCAAGAGGCGCACAACAAGTGCCTTTGCAAACTTCCAGGTGTTGTCGGAATCTTTGACAACTCTCGGACGACATGCCGAGGTGGACTCCCTCTTGAGGAGCTTTTGTGTCAATCCACGTTCCATGCCGGCCTTGTCGCTTGTGACGGAGCGATATCCACAACCGTTCGTTTCCTTGAACGACCTGCCGGTGCTTCGCGACTCGTACATGCGGGGCCTCACTTTGCTCAAGGCGGCAGGCACACGGGCGCATTTGATATGCGATGAAACGACATGGGCCCCGGACTGGAGCCAGGTACGAAGGGTCTGCAGGAACGAGGCCGGCGAGCTGGTGGACAGAATCGTGGGGGGTGCCTGGCATGCCGATGCGGACAAGGATATGTCCCTCCTAGATCCAGACGAACACGACCGCACAAAGCTACCACGTGAGAAACTGGCCAAGCTTGCCCTCCACATCGGTATGGCCCGAACAGACTGCACACGGTTTGTGTTCGACGTATGCGTGTTACCCCGCCCTCAGGGGTTGGGGTCGGCTGAGGAAACCTTGGATGTCGTCGCCCGGGTGTTTCATGAGTGCACAGAGGCCAGTGGGCGACCACCCAATGGCCTGGCGTTCGACGGAGGATCCAACAATGCCAAACTCCTGCAGACCTTTCTAGGTCTTCTCGAACCAGAGAAGATGCAGTCGCTTCCATTTTTCAGCCAGTGTTCCGTGAAGACCATCCCGAAGCTCCCCTGCTGGGGCTTTGCATACCTGACGTACAAGGACGAGGCAGTGTCATGACACAAAGGTCTGTGCTGGGTTCGGGGTTCA